TGGCATTTTTTACCAAAACTGCCTTCAATACTCCCACCAACGTTGTTGTGTGGAATATTAAAGGCATTTTGAAAAAAAAAATGCCTTCAAGAATTCGTCGCATCTTTTTTGTATGGATTATTGAAAGCGTTTTTTTAAAATTTCTTCAATAATATCAACTAAAAATTAATCGAATGGATTATGAAAGGCGTTTTCCTATAGGTAACGCCTTGAATAATCCCTAACAAAATATTATTAAAGGTGTTTTTGGATAAGGTGTTTTGGATATAACTGCCTTCAACAATTTGACCATTAAAATTTATCGTCTAGAATATTAAAGGCGTTTTAAGCAAAAAACGCCTTCAAGCATCCATTCAAAATTTTTTCTATGGATTATTGATGACATTTTTTACAAAAATCACATTTAATAATCACAACAAAATTTTATTGATTGGAGTATAGAAGGCGAATTCGACTAAAAACGCTTTCAAAAATAGGCTCCATATTTTTCCTATAGATTATTAAGGGCGTTTCTCTGCGAAAAATGCCTTCAATATTCCCTGTAAAATTTTTTTAAAGCAATTGGTGAAGGCGTTTTTGTCAAAAAACACCTAGAATAATTAAGTACAAATAATTTTTGCAAAAACTCAAAAAAGGCTAAAGGGATGGATCGAACTTACAATTTTATGGTTAATATTCGTACGATCCAAACATTTTGATATGATATTTATTGAAGGCATTTTTGAACAAAAATGACTTCAATAAGCCTGTGAAAATTTTTGGTCCAATTATTAAAGTTGTTTCTTATAAAAAATGCTTTCAATAATCTCATACAATTTTTTATTAGGTGATTATTGAAAACATTGTTTGTCAAAAATACGCCTTTAGTATTCATTAAAATTTTTAATGCAGAATTATTCAAGGCATTTCAGTTGAGAAATGCCACTAATATCAAGTCTTAGGTAGCATTTATAAGTAATAACATCGCTATTTGATTATTTAGTGATGTTTTGATAATAAATGCCTTAAATTTTATAAAAATACGAAAGCTAGCGACGTTTGTAAATAAAAGGCCGCTACAAAACTGTCATTAATACGCCATTTTCTTGTAGTGATACTAACAATGCTACTAATTTTTTACTTTATATTTCATTTTTTATAATTTTTTATAAAATAATTAATTATGTGTATTGCTGATATATATAATTTCTTTTACTTAGTTTTGTAGATAAGAGTGTAGTTAAATAATTCTAATATAATGTTTCTCCAATAAAATATATTATATAGTCCTTTTTTTCTACTTAATTATCACTTACACTTATTATGCAAACAAAATGTGAGGGTTTAAATTTGACTTTTGCGGAAAAAAAAAAAGAAACAATTAAATTTGATGAGATTAAGGTTACTTGTGTTAGTTTTTACTATAAATGTTATATATTTTGACTAACTTTATATTATATACCAAAATCAAGTATAATTATTTTTAGGAAAAAACAGTGAAAATGTATAAAATAAATACTAAAAAATTAAAAAAAATTGTTCGTATTTTTAGAAAAATTTAATCATTTTCGTTTTTCATTTATTTATTGGTATTATCCTTATTTGAATTTTGAAATAAAATGTTTTTTTATATAATAAAAATTAAAAATAATTAAAATTCTTAATAGAATGTTTTTTTACTTTAAATGGAATATTTTATTTTCATTCATAGAAGACTAGAATTGCATTAAAAATGCTGTAAAATGGTAAATTTATATAAAAAATAAAATAATAAATATGGAGCTCCAAATATAACACAGTTGTAAATGTGTTCAAATTTTGTTTTGTTTTAGTGTTTACGTTGCTTAACAAAACAGTTAATACAAAACAAGGTACTATAGTTAAATCATGTTGAAAAGAACCAAAAAGTGTATAGAATGAATATAATTCAATGAATGAGGATTCTTAAGGAGAATACCTTAAGTCAATGAGAGATGAGTTTTTAATTCAATTTGTATAATAAAAATGCATTTTAAATTTAAATTTTCGAATTTTTTGTACATTTTAATCTTTAGTTTAAACTCTTTACTGAGAAGTTTGGCCAAAATAAATATTTTCTAAGTAATTAGAATTACATATGTAGGATTATATGAGATTTCATGAGTTCCATTAATTCATAAATAAGGACATTAAAACTTTATTTTACATGAAATCTAATATTGGACTCCATTTTTGTTTCACGTGAGATTTAAATTCATGTAATTTAATTCTGATTTTTTTTGCTTAATCGGCACTGAATCTTGATAAAGGTGTAGGCATTTGGGGTTGGGATGAATCTCGTGGAAGAAAAGCGGTCGCCAGTTTGATGCGTTGCCGAAGATACATTTTCACTCCCCATCATTCCTCGCGTTTTGTCACGTAACAGTTTCGTCTATCGGATGACTGGTCCAACTCTGCTGACCAAGTCAAACTGTGGCCCAACTTGTTGCCGGCCCGCCACTAAACGTTGTCACAGTTGATAAGCTCTGCCTCTCTAGCTGGCTGGCTGGCTGGCTGGCACGGACGAAATAAAAGAGGGAAAAGGTGTCAGCAAGAAACATAACGCACACGTGTAGGCCAAGCAAGCTAGAGTTTAGGCGACGTCGTTGAAAGAGAAATTGGGTGTTGCGTGAGGTTGGTCAGATTGGGCGCCTCTATTTTGCGACCCTCGGTACCGTGGCTGTGAGTAAGAAAAGAATGCGACCTTGTCCCAATTTCCCATTATACCCTCCATATTTCTTTTTCTTTCTCTCCCTCAGCCTCGTGAATTCATCTGCAATCCTGTGATTTTTCGTCCTTCTCCTCCATGCAATGAATCCAATAAAAATATATATACCACTGAGTAGGCTGCAAGTATTAGTGCTGCATCCCTTTCAAAACACAGCCAACGTTCTCTTTGGTAGTTCAGAACGTTGGGGGAATTTTTTCTCGCATTGAATAAAATATTTAATTGTTAGAGAATAAATTTAATTTTTGCATTAAATTTATTGTTAATAATTATATGAAACAAAAAGGTCTGTAATATTTTATAACAAATGAGCTATAAACTATTTAAATATATTTAAGCATAAGCGTATATAATAATTAATAACAAATGGATTTTAACTATAAAAAAATGTTTAAACACTAAAATTTGTAATAATTATCAATGAAAAAGTATAATTATTTACATGAATAATTATACTTGATAGAAATGTTTTGTTTAGAGTAGTTAATAACAAAAAATTTATAGTTATTTGTAAAAAAAAAAAGACTATTCAATCAAAATAAAAAGCTTTTTATGCATATTCATTTTCATTAATTATATTCAAAAAATTTTAAAATTTTAAAATTTTATTATATCTTAAAAAATATAATTATCTTTATTAAAATGTTCTTCATATCTCAAAGTCAAATTTTATTTTTATTAATTCTGTTCTCTTAATTCTTTTTTTAATACATTCTACCTACATTATTAGGATTTTTTCTTTAACCTACCTGTCTGATATTTACCTTTTTCGGCGCTTCTACTTTATACATTACTAGTAATATTCTTGCCTATTGGCAATTCGTAGTCTAATAAAGAATAAAAACAAATAGCCTTAAAGATAAAATTTAGAAAGAGTTTTTTTTTTTTTTTTTTATCCTGCGATAGAAGTAGCGGCCCCATAATAGTAAAATAAGTTTAAGTGCAATTTATGATATACAATTAAGATGTTAGAAAGTAGCAAAGTAGATAAGTGTGAAATTTAAATTTTTACGTTTATAATTTTTTTTTTAATTTTTAAAGTTGTGATTTTTTTATAGAAAAAGTTAATAGAACCTATTATTCATAAATTTGGAATCAAAATCTATTTTGATTCCTAATATTTAAAATTGACTAATTGGATTATTAATTATCAAATTAACACATTAAAAATAAGCAAAGTAATGCAATTTGTTTATTTCAAGTTATGATCTCTTCATAAAAAAATGTTAATAGCCTCATTGTTCATAAATTTTGAATCATTTGATTTTTAATTTTTAAAATGTTCTAATTATATCTTCAATTATTTAAAATTATCTTGTTTGGTCCTTTAGTTAATGGAATCATTTAAATTAAAAGTAAATATCAACTGGCGTTGAGTAGATGACATCAACACGCATTTCATCTGATAGATTTAAGGGCCCAAATAAAATTTTACCCAAAGTTTAAAACCAAAGATATTATTATCATGATTTTTTTTTATATTTTAGATATATTTTTTAAAATATTATTTTTATACTTTTTATTGTAATATAATTTACTAGTTAAATATTTCTTATTTTTAATAAAAAAATAAATTTTAAAAATTAAAACTAAGTTAAACATTTTAAAATAATTTCTTTTAAAAAGTCCATGTCATTTAAAAAATTTATTTTTTATTAAAAATATTATTTTTTCTGATAAATCATAATAAAAAATATTATTTTTATTCAAAAAATCTGTTTTTATTAAAAATATTAAATATTTTTTCTCCTTTTTTAAATATATTTACAAAGTAGATATTAAAAATAAATAATATATTGAAAATAATTTTTCAATAGAAACAATATTTATTAATAGATTAATAAATTAATTTTTTAAAATGATATGAAAAACTTTATTTAATATTTTAAAATGATATGGAGTTTTATTTCATTTTTAAATCAAAATAAAATTTTTATTTAATTTTTTAAAATGATATAAATTTTTTTAAAATTTTTTTTTGAAAATTTTAACTTAATATTAATTTTTAAAAATTTGTTTCTTTTAAAAAGTATTTAACAATAAATTACATTAAAAAATATAAAAATATTATTTTAAATTTAATATTTTATAAAATATATTTAAAATATAAAAAATTTTACGAAAATAACATACATGATTTTTAAATTTTAAGTGAAATTTTATTTTAATCATTTTATTTATCATGAGAGATGTCACTTGACATCATTCATATGACACGAATTAAACGATTTCATAGACATAAAAACTAAATAAAATAATTTTAAATAATTAAGGTCTAATTAAAAGTTTTCAAAGATTAAATATCAAAATGAAATTTGACTTGAAGTTTGATGAAATGTGAAGCCAAAACAGAAGCAAAGTAAAGAGGAAGGAAATTGACAGCATGAGGTTATTTTTGTTAAATAGCAAGGACGAAAAATGTTTGATTCCCGACCTCTCAATCCCTTCAAACCTCCTCTCTCCTACCCCAGATTTTCTCTCTCCACACAAACACAAAACCGCCCTTGCCTCTCTCTTCTGATTTCATCTCCTTGAAATCGTTTCCTAGTTCCAGAGAGGAATGGCTCAAAGAACCGAAAAAGAAGAGACCGAGTTCAAGGTACCTGAAACCTTGACGCTATGCATCAACAACTGTGGGGTTACGGGGAATCCAGCCACCAACAACATGTGTCAGAAATGTTTTAATGCAACAAGGGCCTCATCCTCGACAATCTCCTCTCCTTCCGTCACCGGTGGTGCTAGTTCTGGTGGAGCCTCAATTCTTAAATTCTCCGACGACCAATCCTCGAGATCTACCCCGTCTCGGTCACAGGAGAACCGACCCTGTTCTGCTTCGCCAACAACAGCTGCAACAACAACGGATAGTCGGATCACCGCATCAAATCGATCAGGGAATGATCCCGTTGTGGCTGCGGAAAAGAAGGTGCTGAATCGATGTGCCGGTTGCAGAAAACGCGTGGGGTTGACTGGTTTCCGGTGTCGATGTGGGGAGCTTTTTTGTGCGGAGCACCGGTACTCGGATCGGCACGATTGTGGTTATGATTACAAGGCAGCGGGTCGCGAGGCTATCGCTAGAGAAAATCCCGTGGTTAAAGCGGCCAAGATTATCAGAGTTTGAGTGTATCAAATGATATTAAATATTGGAGCATTTTTCGACCTGAAACTTGAGCAAGTTGTGGAGATCCATGCTCGATCTCATCATCATCTCTTGGGGAAGATGAGCGTTTCATAGAGAGAAAAGAGTCCATCAAAATCTTCACGTCAAGATTGCTGGAGATGACGAAATATTCTCTCTTCTGATTGCTCATGTTCGATCAAATCTATAGTATTCCATTTTTCATTTTTACTTTGTTTTTTTTTTTTTTTAATTAATTGAGAAATGAAAGATTGTTGTGGCCTATTTATAATTCGTGTTACCCTGCCCTCCAGGATTCAGATATTTTATTTTAGCGTTCCCTTCAGATGCTTTATAGATTGTTTGATGAAATTATTTCGAATTTTAAAGTTTGATTATATTAATAATGGAATAATGGTATGCGTTGTGAATTCGATTGGGTGAAAGGAGGTTTTGATTTTGGGGAAATTGCAATATGCAATGCAACTGGAAACTTAGGTAGGAAGGAGTAAAATATAATTACAAATAAACACAAAATAGAGAGATTTTATAGGGTTAGTGGCGCAAAAAAACGGTTGATCTTGCATTTTCCATAATCCAATCACGTCTATAACACATTAGGTGGTATTAAAAAAAAAAAACAAAGGCAAAAGCTGTAAAGTGGGATGAGAGTGACGGCAACACTTGCGCACTGGAAAATTTTTTTTTTTTGGGTGCGTTGCGATATTGTTGAAAAACAAATCCACTAAAATAAACGAAGTGGCAGTACTAAATGTAGTTTTGATATTAATTTTAAGATTATTATTATTATAATCATTGAATTGATTTTATTATTAAGATAATTTTATTATTTGTGGATTAAAATTATTTTATTTGATTATTAATTTACATGAATTAAAGATTATTATCTTAAGAATTATTAAAATCAAACATTATAATATTTAAATTTATAAAAAATAATCACATTTATTATAATAATAATACAAGTTAATGATTAAATATTGTTTAAAGATTATAATTTATAAAATAGAATAATATTTTATTTAATTTATAATAAATAAAATAAAATTATTAGATTATTAAATTAATAAATATATTTATTAAGTAAACTAATTTTTATAATATAAATCATGTAAAAAAATTTAAATTAAAAAATAAAGCTAATCTACTAAAATTATAATAGATTATATTATATATAAAACATTAGAAAAATAAAAATATATAAATTATTTTTAAATTTATTATAAAGAATATTAGTTTTAAAATATAAAAATTTATAATATAAAATAATTATAATTTTTAAAAATTAAAATTTTAATTCAAGTATTAAATAAATAATATTAATTAGTATTAATTTTATATAAAATTTTAAGTTTAATTATAATTTTTTTTATTTTTAAATAAAAATTAAATTATATTTCAAAATAGTGATATGAAAATTCTTGATGACTTAAAATTATTATCATATGGAATTATTAAATATTTATTAAATATAATGATTTAATTAATATGTACGTATCATCATAATTTTTAAAGTGAAACAATATAAAAAACAATTGAAGAAATGAGGCGTGATTGAGTGAGAGTTGGCTGCTCGATGACGTTGAGAAGAGAAAGTGGCTATTGATGTACATTATTACATAAGCATGACAGATACAAGTACAATAAACACTTTGGGCCCATAAACAATCCACTTATTCCTCACAGTCAAGACCCCGAAGGCATAGTCCAAGAAGGGATTGTATGGAAATCAAATCTTGTCACTTTAGCCTATAACCCAATACCACCCACATCAACTGTATTTTGTAGTCTGAGATTGAGCAGATTAGACACATTAGTGAGATTAAGGTTGTATACTACTCCATTGTCTTAACCTTTTGGGTACTTTACATATTACAAGAAGTTTTGACAGCCGTGTGTTAAGGCTTCTGTAGCGTTGGAAATGCAACTCTTTTGGCTACTTTACCTAGAAACAAAAAAGATGTGATTGTGAAAAACAAAAAGAGGTAAAACTATTGATTTAGCAAAAGAAGCAGTTTACAAAATCTGATAGAGCTGGTTCGAATTAAAAATAAAAGAAAGGAGCTTACTGATCTAGCAGAAGCAAGGGTCTCGCCTTGATTTTCTCTCTTCTCTTCTTTCCTCAATTGCATTGCAGTTGCAAAACTAAAAAAAGACCGTACATCTCTAAGCCCATTTATGTTGGGCTTCTCCAACTGCTGTTTGCAATTTATGTAAAAAATAATAAAGTTTGTTGGGCCCAATAGGAAACTCGGATCGGAGTTAGGAGAGCATTGAAATAAAATATAATAATAAACAAGTAAAATTAGAGTAGAGGAAGCGAGTAATAGGGTTTTGTTTGGCGGCCAGACACTGACAGAGCTAGAGCAGTGGTTTTTGTTTTGGGGAACAAAGAGATCCGGTCGGGGCTAAGAACATGGTAGACAAGGCAAGCAAAGGAAGAAAGGAGGAGGTTGTCACCAGAGAGTACACCGTCAACCTCCACAAACGCTTGCATGGATGGTAACTAACCAAACCAAACCAAATCAAATCTATTCTCTGCTTTCTTTGCTTTTTTTTTTTTGTTGCTGAAATCTACTGCTGTTGGTGATCAGTTATATTTGTATATTGTGATGGATGTTGAAATTGCTCTAAATGTATGTATCATTTGGAGCTTTTGATTGGTTGCTTGCTTCAGATGTTTCATTTGGCTTCTCTTCTCGACAGTTTCAGGTCTCATTTTGGGGTTATTTGCAGTGGTCAATTTCTAAAGTATTTTCGTATGCCCCTAGGTTACAGAATTTCTCTACTATCTTCAACTGTTGCTGGCCTTCTTATAATCATGCTTATGTTTCCTTGCTAAAATTGCTAGTATTTCTGTAAATATAGTTCCAAATGGAAACATATTGATTAGAATTCTTCAAATCTGTAACTTTTTGATATTCTTGCTTGCTTTGGATTGCTCTATTTCTGTCTAAACAACAGTATTCTCTTTCTGAATTATAGGCAACCGAGTTTATTTTCACTGCCATTCAGTTCTATCAGAACTTAAATCAAACTGCTGCTATATTTACATAAAATATTCCCTGTTGAATTCCATGTAGCACTAGTTTGGCAGATGTTATTTCCCTTTTTTTTTTTTTTTTTTTTTTTTATCTTCCCTTTGTAATTTTTGCTCATTCCCATTTAGTTTATGTTATGCTATGTAATCTGGAAATTTGTACAAAACTTTCCACAGCACATTTAAGAAGAAGGCTCCGAAGGCCGTAATCGAGATTAGGAAGTTTGTCCAGAAGGCCATGGGGACAACTGATGTCAGAGTTGATGTAAAGCTCAACAAGCATGTATGGAGCCGTGGGATCCGAAGTGTGCCAAGGAGAGTTCGTGTCCGTATTGCAAGGAAGAGAAATGATGAAGAGGATGCGAAGGAGGAGTTTTACTCTCTGGTAACTGTTGCAGAGATTCCTCCAGAGGGTTTGAAGGGTTTGGGAACAAAGGTGATTGATGAAGAAGACTGAAACAACATACCTACTTAGATCTTTGTTAAGTAGTTTCAAATTTTGGTATTTCTATTTAGTTAAGATATTTTGGGTTTTTCTTTGTTTTCTTTTTCAAATCTGGTGGGATTCTATTGTTCATCTTGAACTTAATTGTGTTTTCTCAATGGTACTGAAATAGGCGGCAGCTTCATCTGAGGATTACTTTTCATTTGTCTGACAATGTGGTTTAGTGATTGTTTGATGGTGTGTTGGGAAAGAGGGATTTGATTTCTTTTGTGCTTTTTCTGTTGGTTGGATATGAAAAGTACTTGAGATGAAACAGCTTGTGCTCTGTGATGCATTTTATTGTGATGAGCTATCGAGGGTTTCTTTTTTTTTTTTTATATATATATATAATAAACTTTAGCTAGATGGGTGGGTCAGAGGTGATAGAACAGTTATCGCGGCGGCACAAATAGTTACTTGCCTATATCTATTGCTTGCTCAGGTACAAGAGTGGATAACGATCCTTCTGGGATTAGTTTAGTACCAGATACAATATACTTCTTCAGTCTTTACTAGTAAATAAGCACTGTGACGATAAGTAGCGTAGTTGCTTTCTTTGTAGTTTTCAGTTTTCAAGTTTCCCCACATTTCTTTCTTGAATCACAAATCTAATATATATGTCTTTTCCTTTTTTCACTCCATCAAAAAATTTAGACCATTGTTATAAAATAAGCAATAATAATAACGAGTTGCATTTGTATATGTTTTTTAGTGGTGAGCGGTTGAATAGTGTTTTTTTTTTAAAATTTGTAATCTATTTTTCACCTCATAATTTTTATTTACTAATATGGGGAGACGTTGCGAATTCGAACTCATAATTTTCGGGATATATAAATTATCCGAATGAATCAATATTTAATTAATTTATTTTTACCAAACATAAAAAAATAAATAAATAATTACCCTTCTGTTCCAAACTTAACCGACTTTAATCAACCATGAATATTGAAAAAAAGAAAAGTTCTTAGAATTTCCTTTCCCTCGTTTTCTGATTGCAAGGCTCTGATCAAAACGACGATAGCATCTCCTCACCAAGTCAGCCTAACTTCTCTCCTTTTCCCTTTTTTCCTATTGCGCTGCCGCCACCATCGACTTGTCGGCGCCGGGGTAATCCCTTTTCTTGTTTTATTTTTTTTCCTCTGGAATTTTATAAAGCTTTTTAATTGTTTTATTCCGTATGCCGCAGCCGTTGGATATGCATTCCGGCGGATCTGATGCTGTCCATGCTTCATAGATCTGGTCTTACTCTTATTCTGTTGTTGTTGGTTGTCATAAAAGAAATTGGTAATAGTAATATATATCGGGTGACTTGATTCTCAATTCTGCCTTTACCAATGTGAATTTGACGTTTTCTTTTATGTTTAACGTGTGGGCATTTGTTTCTGCTTTCTTTGTGCGATACTATGTGTTATTATAAAGTCAGACCCACTGCAATATCTAAATAGATTAGAGGCTCCACTTGTTAAGCAGTGGCTTCCTGTAAACAGCTTTTAACTGTTGTTGGTTCTAAGCCAATGGAGAAAGGAGTGCCATCTAGCCTTTTTGTTAATGATGGTTCCTTCATGGAGAGGTTAAATAGCTTCAACAGCAGAAGGATGACAAAGACAAGGCTGCAGGTTTAGAGGAACCTAGACCCCCCAAAATTGTAAAAGGCTCTTCAGCTCCCAAACATGCTATTGCTCTTAACAAAATGGCCATGGAATATAAGCCCAATGATGCACGCAAGTCCACCCAAACTTCCTCTAGATACAAACTTGCATTCAGCTTGAAGCAGAAATCAAAGCTTGTAGCACCTCCTGTTAAGTTGGTTGTGGATGAGGATGAAGAGGACCAAGATGCAGGGAAGTTGTCAGATGACACACCTATTAAACGGCAAAAGTTGGGTCAATCAGATGCCTCTGAACAAGCATCAAAACAAGTAGATGTTGGTAATTACTGCTTTTATTTATCTTTTTGTGGTGCTTTGGGTGACTTGGTCATCCTTGAGGATTTTACATGCATAGGCTGATTGTTGGATGCATTTCCAACTAGAGTGCACTCATGAATGTTTGAATTTCTAATTTATTTTGCTTTCTATTATGTTCTCACTGACTTAGAGGTCTAGATAATAATTCCTCTTTTCTCTTCTCATAATTGAACTTTTTATAGGTGTCTAAGTTAAACGATCCATTCATTAACTGCTGTGGTTTATGAAGTCATCTGGCAATAAGTCCTCTCTGATCTTAAAGTGGTGGATGAAGAGGGTAAATCATTCTTGAATATTTCTTTTCTCATGAATGAAGCTTCTACCTTAAGTACCAATCAACATTGGTGGAAAGAGATGTTCAATGAAAGATTTGGAATATGTGGCATGCCTGCTGCAAGAGTAATTTGCATTCTCTTCTTCAATCTCTTGGTATTAATGTGTTTTATAAGTGATATTCTGCACAGCCTTCCCCAAGCAATCCCACTGTGAAGAAAGTTGCAGACAAACTAGCGAGTTTTGTTGCCAAAAATGGAAGGCATTTTGAGCATATTACACGCCAAAAAAACCCTGGAGACACACCTTTTAAGTATGTTCAGTTTTGCATCAATCTTTTGGGCTCATTATGCTCTGCACCCATGCTTATGAATGCATTCTTTTTTTTTCTTTCTTTTTGGTTCTTATGTTTTATGTATTTGATATTTTACTGTGTCCAGATTCCATTTTGATGAGAGTTGTTCTGATTACAAATACTATGAATACCGGATTTCTGAAGTGGAAAAGACTATTTTACAGAACAAGGAATCACAAACTCCTCAAAGTGGTTGGTATCTTTTTTTCCCCTTGACCATAGCGTTAGGTATCAACTCTTTGAGGTTGTATGATTAGAGCTCTAACTGCGATTTTTTGTGGAAGGTTTTTTCTTTTTTTTTTTTAATGTAAAGAGTTTCCTTTGCTATTATTTCTTTCTTGTTACTTCAGTTTTCAGTTCTACGCCTAAAGATTGGAGTTACTGTTCATGCGCAATTAGGCTTGGAAATGGCTTCAGAAATCTTAGGAGATATAAGATTGTTGGATATTTGAAGGCGATATCCTTATCAATCTGTACTGACATGATGAATGCTTTATCTAGGTGGTACGAGCATTGCAGCTTCCAAGTCCCAAGCCGCTCTCTTAGGTCTGCTCTGCAACAATCAAGTTATCAAACTCCTGCCTCTGCTTTGTATGAGAATAATGAGGAGCCTAGATCTTCTGCAACATCAGTGGGAAGAGCAGGTGATGATGCATAAGATACTGCTTTTTGTTTTTTCATGGGATGCATATGAGTTTGGCTTTCCTTGGCTTGTAATATCTAGTGTTATCAAGTTCTTTAAATTAAAAATTGTCAGTGTTTCATTTGTGAAGCAAATGCTATCTAAGGATATTGATCATGGATTCTGCTAATTAAAATGATCTGAAAATATTGTCCTGCTCTCTGGTTTTGATAATAATTGTACTATTTCATACTAAACAACGCCTATGACTGTCTATTTTTAATGATATAAATAATAATTTCTGTTAAGTTGTCCTTCTAGAGTGAATTTAATATAAACAAACTAAGAGTATTAACACCTTGCTGTTGGATTTGATATCAACAGACATTATGAATGGACAATTTTGTTTGCCTGATGTTATATATACATGTTTTTCTAAGTTGCAGGCCCATCCAGTGTGCCACCAGGTGCAGATCCTATAGCAATGATGGAGTTTTACTATAACTGTTTTTCTAAGTTGCAGGCCCATCCAGTGCACCAACAGGTGCAGATCCTATAGCAATGATGGAGTTTTATGTGAAGAAGGCTGCTCAAGAAGAGAAGATGAGACTGCCTAAGCAGTCCAAAGATGAGATGCTGCTACGTCCTTCCCTTCAAGGTGAATTTTATCCTGATTGAAGTGTATTTTTTTAATTAATTACATTTTTTGTACCTAAACTTTTGGAAAATGTACAAATTAGTACTTAAAGAAATAAAATGTAAAATTTGCCCGTTAAACTCTCTAATAATACATCGTTTTAATCCAAATTCTAATGTTGTTAACTTATCTTGCCTATATGGTGTCTAACTAGTATAATTTTGTTATGTGCATGTTTTTTGTTAAATAAAAGTGTTAAATATTTTGTAAAAAATTTCATATGAAGTCACATGACAAAAAAAATGATTGACTTATCCTAGACAATTTTTACAGTCAGATAAAATGTATATTTTTTTAATTTATATTGAAGAAACTATTGATAGGATGTTTTGGTGAACACATAACTTGATAATATTTGTCAAACGTCACATATATAAGCTGATATGGTTAGCGGGGTTAGAGTTTGAGTTAATATAGTACATAAATTGAAAGTTCATAGTGCAAATTGTACAATATTTTAAAGTTTTAGACTCAAATTATATATTTTATTTTTTTAGGTACCAATTTGTACATTTCCAAGAGTTAAGGTGCCAAAAGTGTAATTAACTCTTTTTTTTCCTGTACTGCTAAGACACATTATCCTTATGCTGTTGGTTTAGCAGCTCCTGGGAAGAAAGGTCATCACATGGGCAACTATATCCCCCTGGAAGAGCTTGAAAAGTTCTTGGCTGCCTGCAATGATGCTGCTGCACAAAAGGCTGCAAGGAAGACTGCAGAGAGGGTGAAGATTCAATCTGATAATATTGGGCATAAACTCTTGTCAAAAATGGGTTGGAAAGAAGGTGCTTTTTTATATTCTCTCTCACTTGTATTGTTGCTCATCTCTGGCCTGTGTTAACCTACAGTTTCAAGCCCATTTTTAAATTCTGCTCTAAATAATGAATCGTGAGAGTAGAGATAAGATAAATCATCAAAGATGAAGGATGTAAACATTTGTGGAAATTATTCTTTTTCTGTACCTTGCAATCAAGTGCTGATACAAATGCTGGCATTTTTTCTTATTCTTCATTTTGCCTTTGTGGTAGTATTAGCAACTATTTCTAAAATACATTTTATATCAAGCTTAAAGAGATTTGCGAACCTTACAAGCTTATCATTTTGCTTGATATTAGCAAAGGTGACCTTGTTTTTCTTTGTAGATTGCTTCAGATGGAGAATTTTCTTTCAGCACTTTTCATAGTAGTTTTATGAAGCAAGCTTGATTTCTTTCAAGTATTATGTTCTCTTAAGCGGATCTGATTGTGTTTCTGCAATGATTTGAGTCCTTGGACTACTGCTGCCAACCCAAAAAAAAAAAAATGATATTTGCCTTTTGATATGAGGTGAATTTCATTTTTCTCTAAAGTGAGAACTTTAATACCTTTGTTGCATGTTTTCAGGTGAGGGTTTAGGGAGCTCCAAAAATGGTATTTCAGATCCAATCATGGCTGGTGATGTAAAGATGAACAATTTGGGGGTTGGTGCTCATCATCCTGGAGAGGTGACTCCAGATGACGATATAAATGAGCAGTGTAAGAAGTGAATGATGCTTGGTTATCGACATAGACCAAATCCTCTGGTATTTGATTTGTGCCTTTTTCTTCTAATAATTAAAAGATTGTATTGTATCTAGTTCTTATTCTCACTGACCGACAGCTAGTTAATATTATCGCCTGAAGATATTGTGATTTGAGTTATTTTTGTCTTGATCTGATATTTTGGTCTTTTTGTGCATAACAATCCTCGAAAAGCATACTTTTGAACAAAATTGTGGAGGAGACCCACTCGTGGGGGCTGGTTGGAGGAATAACTAGAAGTTAAACGTGCTTATAGTATTTTTTAAAAAGTATATTATACGACTGAAATTGCCTTTGTTACGTTT